TAGTCTGTCACTGGGCACCAGGCTTGGGCTGAGCCTGGTGGGACACAAGGTGGACCTAGGTGGGCCCTCAGTGTGTTGGTCTGGGACAGGGTTGGGGAACCCCCCTGAGTGTTTCAGCTTGGTTGGAGGAAGATGGGGGAGCAGAGTGGAAGAGTAGAGAGAAGAGGTTGTGAGCCTTTCACAAGTCCATAAAGTCACCACCTCCTAGTTAGCTTGATGGAAGGAGGAAAGGGAATGGCATGAAAGAGTGATTTAGACCCTAATACCATGAGAGAGGGGGAGCTCTGGTAGCATAGTGGCTAAGACACTTGCCTGCTAACCAGACAGCTGGTGGTTCAAACCCACCAGCCACTCCTCGGAAGGAAGGTTGGGCAATCCTACTTCCGTGGTGATACTGCCTCGGAAACCCAACGAGGGGTCGCTATGAGTCGGGGCCGACTCGATGGCACATAACAACAACAACAACAACAAGCCATGAGAGAAGGGAGGCAGCTGGAGAGGATGAGGGCCTTAAAATGAAGTGCAGGAGAAAGGGGAACAGGAAGCTGGCAGGATCCTTCCAGAAGCAGGTCAAGGCTACCCAGCTCCAGCCACCCTGCCGCTGCCTGGTCCAGCTACCACCCCCCTGGGCAGGACTTTGCTGCCAAGTCTTTTCACAAGCAGCAGCAGCCTCCCCACCCCGCTGCCCCACAGAGGGCCTGATTCCCACTCTGACCCTCCAGGAGCCTTGGTGTCCATTTCTCCAAAGTCCGGTCTCTGACCCTTGATTCATGGGAGCCGGAACTAGTGAAGGTGACTTGGGGTATAGTGAAAATGGGGTGGGGGGCGGTGTGTGACCAAGGGATGAAGAGGCTTGAGGGCTCAGACATTCACCACCCCCCTGCCTGTCTCTGTGTGTCTGCCTGGGACCCTGAAGCTGATGTGCGAGCTGGGAAACGTAGTCATCAACCAGATCTATGAGGCCCGTGTGGACGCCATGGCAGTGAAGAAGCCAGGGCCCAGCTGCTCCCGGTGAGGCTGGCAGGAGGGGTCGGGAGCTGCCATCCATGGGCCCGAGTGATGGTGTGAGGAGGGTCTGGGACAGGAAAAGGGAAGACTGTCCCCTCCCCCTCTCCCAGGCAAGAGAAGGAGGCCTGGATTCATGCCAAATATGTGGAGAAGAAGTTCCTGACCAAGCTTCCTGAAGTGAGAGGGCGAAGAGGCGGCCGGGCCCCGCCCCGGGGGCAGCCTCCTGTGCCCCCGAAGCCTTCCGTCCGGCCCCCGGCAGGGAGCTTCAGTCGCAAGCCAGGTACATGGGTTAGTTGGGTATTTGTGGTGGGCCTGCTGTGTGCTGAGCCGCACGCCAGGCCCTGGGGTGGTATCCAGCACATGAGATCCAGGCTTCCCCTTGAGAATGTTGGGGACCAGACAACACCACCACTGATTTTGCAAGGGAAGAGTTTCAGGTGGTTACGGGGATGTGTGGCACTAAGAATGGAAGGAGCACAGGGCTGGGAGTAAACAAGGACAACTCTGTAAGGGGTTGTCAGCATCCTAAGAAAAGGCAGGAGTGGGAATGAGCTTGGGGTCTCCAAGGGCCAGTGAAGGGGAGTGCGAGTCTAGCTGGAGCAGAGGGAGTTGAAGGCTAAGAGCTAAGGCTGAGTGGTAGTTCACCCATGACATCCCAGCCAGTCTGAGGGGCTGGACAGGATGAACTGTCTGTCCTTCACACCTGGCAGCCCCTTCCCAAAACATGAACACCCAGACTTACACACACCCACACGTACACACACACACACCCCTACACACATGTGCCCACTCAACTCCACCTCCTATCACAGGTTCCAGTGTCATGAAGGCCTCACCAAAAGTCAGAAGTGATCTAGGTTTGTACTCGACTACTAACCCGAACCCACCCAACAGCACCATGGGAAAAAAGCCTGCCAATCTGCTCCATAAAGATTACAAGCAAGAAAACCTTAAAGAGCAGTTCTACTCTGTGACACATGGGGTCACCATGAGTTGGAATCAACTCACTGGCAACGGGTTTGATTTTTGATTTTGATTCCATTCAGTACCAGGGAGCTATGTGGAAGGTTTTCTTCCCTAACTTACGGCTGATCTGCCCTAACAGAACTAAATCCCTCTAACAGAGCCTCCCTCTGATGACCTGGGCAATTTGCACCCTGGGGCCCTGCTGTTTCGAGCCGCTGGACATCCTCCATCCCTTCCCACTATGGCTGATGCCCTTGCCCATGGAGCCGATGTGAACTGGGTCAATGGGGCTCAAGAGAATGCCACACCACTGATCCAAGCCACAGCTGCTGTGAGAGCCTTGCCACCTCCTCACCCCACCCTTCGCTCTTCATCTGCTTCCTAGGACACTCATCCCTCACCCTGCACCTGCTCCCAGGGACCCCCACCCCACAGAGAGTGGTAAGGAGCATCAGCTGGTTGCTAATAGTGCATAAGTTGGAGACAGACAACCTGGATTTGAATCATGGCTCTCACCACTTACAGGAGACTTTGAACAAGTTACTAACCTATCTGTGCCTGTCCCCTTCTCTGTAACAGGGATCACACACCTTATAAGGTTGTGCTGTGAATTTAATGTATGAATAGGTATAAAGAGCTGCCTGCAGCAGAGCCTGACACATTTTAGCTGTACCCTACACTCCTGATCCTCACCCCACCCTCTGCACTGACTGAGCCCACCCGACAACATCTTTAAATCTGCTTCTAAACATGTCACCCTGTCTCTCCTTTCTGGACTCCTTGATGCAGAATTCTCTTCTGGCCTGTGAGTTTCTCCTCCAGAACGGAGCGAACGTGAACCAAGCCGACAGTGCGGGCCGGGGCCCGCTCCACCACGCAACAATTCTTGGCCACACGGGGTAGGGACTGCAGGGACGACAGACTCAGGGAGGAAGGCTCCGGAGGTGAACGCCCGGCTGAGTCTGGCTGTCCTCTTCAGGCTCGCCTGCTTGTTCCTGAAACGGGGCGCAGATCTAGGGGCTCAAGATTCTGAAGGCAGGGACCCTTTGACCATCGCCATGGAAACAGCCAATGCTGATATCGTCACGCTGTGAGAATGCCTGGAGGGGCGGGGCTAGCGCTTAGACGGCCCATGTGGGGCGGGGTTAACGTAGGGACCCGGGAGTCCCCGGGTCGTGCGAGACTTTCCAGGCGAGAAAGTATGTGTATTGGGACATGTAGCTGGAAGGCGGGACAGGGTCCGAGGATGGTGAGCTCATCCTAAGTCAGAGGCATCACTCATGCATCAACATTGTTGTCAGACATCTTTTAAGTACTGGATTCTGGGGAAACGTCTGAATCAAGCGCAACCCAACTAAATGAAGGGATAGTGGCGGGGGCAGGGGGGCGAGGCGAGGGGAGTGTCATTCATTCTTTAATTCCCTTCTCTTCAGGCTTCGACTGGCAAAGATGAGGGAGGCCGAAGCCGCCCAGGGCCAGGCAGGTAAAGTATCCACCCCCAGGCCCAACGCCGGAAGTCTGGTTTTCCTGACCCCTAGCGGCCTGTCTGCATTAATGTGTTCAACAAATACGGATTGGCTGCGTCCGACGTGACAGGCCCCCGAGCTAGAGTAAAGAACAGGCAGAGGTGCTGCGCCCAGGCGCAGTTCCCTCCATCCACGGTCGAAGGGCGTGCTTGTACCGACCAGGCCCAGCTGTCTCTGTCATCCCCTTCCACCGTTTTGGCCCAGCTGTCCGCCGCCCCAGCCCTTCCTCCTTTCGCCCTCAGGAGATGAGACGTATCTCGACATCTTCCGCGACTTCTCTCTCATGGCATCAGATGACCCAGAGAAGCTGAGGAGGCGTAGTTATGACCTTCACACGCTTTGATCCCAGTCCTGCGGGGCCCCCGCACCTCCAGGCCTTTCCCCACCGCCGGCCTCATCACCATTAAAGCCTCTGTGCTTTGCTCTTTCCTTCATAATTCATTTACTGGGCGCCACCTCCGGTCCAGCGAGCTGTTGGGTACTGCGGCCCCTGGGGTTCAGGAGAGGATGGTAGTTTGCAAGCTTGAGCCACACGAAGAGGTCCAAGGGGAGGGAAGTGGAAGCTTCGGCCGGGCCCAGCGCAAGCGGCTGTGGGGCGGGGCTGTCCGGCTCAGGCGACGTGGCCAGACTCGTCAGGCTGGAGGGAGGTAGGGCGGGGGACGGCCTTCCCGCAGGGCAAGCTGCAGTGGTACCGGATGGGGCGAGCGCGCTCCGGCCGCCCCGGCCCAGAGACATCCCCGGAATGCTGCAGCTCAGCACCCGCCCCCTCGGGAACTCCCCACGTGCGCAGCTGCGCCGCCTTTACTCGTAGTGAACGGTTCGAGACCCTGCCAAGTTGCAGACGTGAGGTCTTGCATACCCGGGGGCCGGCAGGGCCGTCGCGGCCACATCCGGACGACGCGCTTGAGTCACAGGCCGAGACCCCACCCTCACTAGCGCCCGCCTGTCCAGCCCGTCCGCCCCGTCCGTCCGGTCGGCGAGTCCCCGCTCCCACCTCCACCCGAGGCTTGCGGGCCTCGCGGGGGCGGGGGGCGGGGCGTCAAGGGGCGGGGCTGTCCCTTAAAGGGCCCTGGCCGCTGCCCTTAGGCCACTTCCTGGGGGCAGAGAGGACCTCAGCGACCGCGGCTTGAGCCGGGGAAGGCTGCAGAATCTGGGTGCCGAGATTCCCGGCTGCTTCCATCAGGCCCACGGACTCTCCAGCTGAAGCTGAGTACATCGTCGTCCCCCAGCCGCCGAAGGCGCGGCTCCGCCATCCGTTCTCATCAGCCCTGCTTCTGTCCCCTGGGACCCGCGCCCGGAGCCCAGGCCGGGCCTCTGACCGGCCCCCGGAGCCCTGCGTGGACTCTCCCACGGCGACAGCGGTCTGCTCTGGAACTCAGAAGCAGGGTCCTTCCAAGAGTCAGCCCTGTGCTCGCCACCGTCACCTGCTGGTTGGATTCCGGAAACCCACTGCCTGAAAGACCACAAAAAGGAATCGCCCATCGCCCAGAACTGGACTGAAAGCTCCCTTCCCCTCTGGCTTTCCTCCGTTCATCTGCTCTATAAACCTTGAGGAAGTTTCCGGGCCCTGAAACCCCTCCCCCTCAACAGGTAGCTGGGGTGAGCCCCGAACCTTGCTGCCTGTAGTCCAAGCGCCTGTGCCTCCAGTCCAGCGAGTCTGAACGTTAAAACGCAATTCTTCACACATCCAGGAAGTTCTCCCTTTTCTTCTCCTTCAGTGTCTCCCCTACCCCCCAAAATTTCCCCTCCTCCTGTGCCCACTTCGCCCCCCTCCTTTGGGGGCCCCGTGACCCTGAATGTGGGGGGCACGCTATATTCCACTACTTTGGAGACCCTGACCCGCTTCCCAGACTCCATGCTGGGGGCCATGTTTAGAGCTGGCACATCCATGACCCCCAACCTCAACCCACAGGGAGGTGGCCACTACTTCATCGACCGAGATGGTAAGGCCTTCCGCCATATCCTCAATTTCCTGCGGCTGGGCCGCCTGGACCTGCCCCGTGGGTACGGGGAGACGGCGCTTCTTAGAGCAGAGGCTGACTTCTACCAGATCCGGCCACTCCTGGACGCCCTGCGGGAACTGGAGTCGTCTCGGGTGGCTACAGCACCCACAGCTGCCCTGCTCCACGCAGATGTGGACACCAGCCCCCGCCTGGTGCACTTCTCTGCTCGCCGGGGCCCTCACCACTATGAGCTGAGCTCCGTCCAAGTGGACACCTTCCGTGCCAACCTCTTCTGCACTGACCCAGAATGTCTGGGCGCCATGCGGGCCCGATTTGGTGTGGCCAATGGGGACAGAGCAGAGGGGGGTCCACACTTTCGCTTGGAGTGGGCCCCCCGCCCTGTGGAACTCCCTGAGGTGGAGTATGGGAGACTAGGGCTGCAACCGCTGTGGGCTGGGGGGCCAGGAGAGCGGCGGGAGGTAGTGGGCACACCGGGCTTTCTGGAGGAGGTCCTTCGGGTGGCCCTGGAGCACAGCTTCCGCCTGGACTCTGTCTTCCCTGACCCCGAGGACCTACTTAACTCACGATCTCTGCGCTTTGTCCGGCACTGAGGATACTGTCCTCAGCTTCATTGTTGGGGGGGGGGGGGGAGAAGGAATGGGGCAGCTGAGGGGTGGGGCTCCCTGAAGCCTTTTCCTAGCTCTTCCTGGGAAGCTGTGAGAGTCAGGAGTCCCACTACACTTGCCTGGAGCCCAGATGTGGGCAGGACTTTTCGAACCTGAGCCCATTTGAGGGCTCAAACGTCGTGGTCCAGAGCGTCTGGAGCGGTGCAGGGAAGGTTCCTGTGACTTCTTTTTGTCGGAGGCTGGGGACCCCCAGCATCTCCTTCACTGGAGCTCGGTGTTCAGGGTCTGCAAAAGTAGGGAACACCTCCCTGCCCAGGCTATGCGGAACCTAGCTGAACCCTGGAGGGACACTGAGGTCTTAGGAAGGGGGTCTTTAGAGTGTCCTAATGTAGTCTCCTGACAGAAGACTGTGGCTTCTCCTGAAGCTGGTGGCATGGGCTGGCCCGACCAATGAGAAGCCAGAAAACTCTGTAAAGTGGGAAGGGGGTGTTCTTTGCTGTGTCCCAAGCCACCTACAGAAGGAAACAGAAAGGCTACTAATTCTACCCCTGGTTGGCGTAAGGGAGCTAGGAGAAGACCCATTAGCTATGGGGCTGGAGCACTCCTTTAGAGATCCAAGTAATACTTTAAAGGATTCCATATTAAGTGTGGGGCTAGTCAGGGTAGGAGGGTGGCATCTTCTTGGGTCCTGGCCTCAATTCTCTCATGGGAATTGGGGGTGTGTATATGAGAGTCGACCAGTGTGTCTGACTGACGTGTGGTCCCTGCCGCTCTGGGTCCCTGTCTGTGTTCCTGTCTTTGATGTCTGTGTGCTAGTCCTCCTGTACTTTCTGCAGGTCTAGGCCTGTTCGGGTTTGCCCAGCAACTGTTTTGGCACAGGGTGTGTCTGTAGTATGTGTGAGTAGACTGAGAATTAGTTTAATCACAGGGTGTGTGTGTGTATATACACGCTCACACATCATCATGTAGGCAGAGAGTGGTCTGTTGGGGTTTTAGTCACTAAGATCTTCCTGGTGAGAAGTGAAGTCACTAGGCTTAGCCGGGCCTCTGAAGCCTGTATGGAACTCTTGGTTGCTGGGGCAACCATGGGCCTGTTGCTAGGAGATAGCTGGGGAAGGCCCAAGGCTGTCCAGGGCAGAGAGAGATGAACAGAAGAGTTTGGAGAGTGGGGGAGGACATGGGAAGGGATGGGATTTCTAAGTCCCTGAGGGGATGGGACGCTCACGTACAACTTCTTCGTGGGGGAGTCACTTATTATCATTGGTCATGACTTACAAGAAGAAAAATAAAATTACTTTGAAACCGCAAACTTAAAAAAGTCTACTGAGAGCCAGGTTGTGAGTGGTGTCTTCCTTCTAACGTGTCTCGCTCTCTGCACCCGTCTCCCTCTAGAGATGTCTTCTGGCCTCCTTGGGCCCAATTTTCCTCCAGTCGGGGTTGGGATGGCAGCACTATTCTGGAACACTCTAGAACTTCCAGGCAAAGAGCTGGAGTCAGGGTCACTGAGCATTCTGAGACCTTCCCAGCCCAGGGGCCAGCCCTCAGACAGGCCTCATGTGGATGCTGGTACTAGGCACAGTTTTCCTGGCAGGCGCCCAAGCCTGTATCTTCTGCCGCCTCCCAGGCCATGACTTGTTGGGCCGCCTGGATCACCTCTGCAGCCAAATAGAAGTCCGGTGGGAGGCGTGTGAGGCCTCCAGAGACTTCTCGGCCTTTGCCTTAGGTAAGACCCAGGGACAGGCCCAGCAACAGTCACCCCGTACTGTGGCTGCCCAGCTGCCCCCTACAGCCCTCACGCCAGTCCACAGCCATCTCTGGACACAGCCATCTCCCTGTGGGAGAGCTTTCAGGAACCCCAGTAGACCAGCTGCCTCTTTCTGGGCTAGTGAGGAAATGTCTGGTCCTTGCCCATCTCCACAGATGAGATGTCCATGAACAAAATTACAGAGAAGACTCACAGAGTCCTGAGGGTCATGGGTGAGAGAGATCAAGGGGGAAGGTCGCACCTAGGGACTTGGGAGGACCTCAAAGGGGAGGGAGGGGCTTGGGAAGCAGAGAGGGCAGGTGGAGCCAGGAGGGTGTCACCAAGGAGGTGATAGGGGAGAGGAGAGAGGTGAATAGGCCCTGTGGTGGAGCCCAGGGCAATATGGCTGCTCTCTGCTTCCCCAGAGATCAAAGGGTCTTTCTCCTCACTTCCTTTATACTGGGAATGGCTTTACAATACCAAGATCCCGGAGTACACCAGGGAAGGTAATGATGTAGTGAGGGGGTCAAGGGGTGCATGGGACCTTGGGTAAAGGGGTGTGTGGCTGAGTGGCTCACCCACGCCCACCCTTTCCTTGTCTCTCATTTCAGCTCTCTGTGCTCCTGCCTGCCGTGAGTAGAAAAGGGGTGGCAAGGACAAGGGGCCTCTGAGCCTGGCAAGCCGAGGGCTGCAGGGTGGGTGGTCTGAAAGGATGGCGGCTGGGGCTCCGCCTCCCCAGCTCGGGATCCGGCTGTCTCCTGCAGGGGGCAGCACCACCCTCTACAACTGCTCCACCTGTGAAGGCGTGGACGTGCACTGTTGGCCTCGAAAGCGTTGCTTTCCAGGTTCCTAGTCCCCGCCCCTGCCTGGCCTGCCCAGATCCCTGAACCCTCAGGCTCCCTTAGGCGGGGCAGGTGTGGCCCCAGGTTTGCTCACGCCTCCGGGGTTCCCTGCAGGAAGTCACGATCTTTGGGAAGCCCGAATTCTGCTCTTCTCTGTCTTTGTTGCTGTCCTGCTTCTCAGTGTTGGGAGCCTCGTGGTGGAGTGAGTTGAGGGTTACGGACAGGATCCTCGCTGCCTCCCACCTCTCTTGTTACCTCTTGTCCTTTCTAGTCCTCCCACTCACCCACCCTGCCTCCTTCCCAAACCCCTTTCCTTTACTCTCCTAAAAAGAAATCAAACCAAACCCACTGCCATCGAGTCAGGTCCGACTCAGAGCGACCCCCACTGGGTTTCTGAAGCGGTAAATCTTTAAGGAAGTAGATTACGCCGTCTTCCTTCTGTGGAGTGGCTGGTGGGTTTGAACCGAAGAACTTCTGGTTAGCAGTCAAATGCCTTAGGCACTGCACCACCAAACTTACTCTCTTAGGCTACCATTATCCCTCAGGTCCCGCCACCTTCAGGCAAAGAGCGACTTGTGAAGATGCTGACAGCCTCCCAACCAGCTCTAGGGGTGCGTGCCTACAACTTTCTCATCCCTTGGGGAGCACCCAACCAACCCCTTAGTCACAGCCCCAAAGATTCCGTTTTCCACTTATTCTCAGCCCTCAAAATTCAGACATCTCAATAATCCCAACGTCAGATGGCCTCCAGGGACCCGGGCACCCACGCTGGAAAGTCCCGCCCCTCCAGCCCTCCACCAATCAGACACGGGTAGCGGACAATGCCAGGAAAATATCTACCAAGGAAAGAATCTCTTCCACAAAAAACACCACTCCCACACCCTCCTCTGCCTGTTTCCAGAAAACGAAGGCTGTCTGCTCCTTCCTATGACTGGGAATCCGGGAAGGAGTGTTCTGGAGAATTCCCTCTCTGGATTGAGGCCACATCAGTCAGTCTTCTGGCGTGTTCTCCCGCCATTGTATTATTTTTGTGAGGCCCTGGCCTCCTGGGAGGGCTCCCTGCTTGCCAAGCCCAACTAAACCCTCTGTGGATGGCCTCCACCTGCCTGGCCTCTGTCTGCAACCCCAGTGGGCAGAGGGGGACAGAGACTCTCACAGCACAGTGGTTCTCAACTGGGGGTGACTGTGCACCCCTGGGGACAATTGGCAATATCAAAAGATATTTTTAATTTTCTTTTCAGCTTGGGTTGTGCTGCTGGTATCTATTGGATAAGAAGCCAAGGATGCTGGTAAACATCCTACAATTCACAGGACAGCCCCCACGCCGCCACCACCACCTCCAAAACCCATAAACAACAAAGGATTCTCCTGTCTAAAATGTCAATGTTGTTGTTGTTATGTGCCGTCGAGTCGGACCCAAGTCATAGCGACCCCTCTTTGGGTTTCCGAGGCAGCATCTCTTAGATGGCCCCATCTTCCTTCCGAGGAATGGCTGGTGGGTTTGAACTGCCAGCCTTCTGGTTAGCAGTCAAGTGCCTTAGGCACTATGCTACCAGAGCTCCTAAAATGTCAATAATGCCTAAATTGAGAAACCCTGGTGTTTGGACCCCTGCCTGTCACAAAGTTTTGGTTGAGTGCTGAGAGATGGAAATGAAAAAGAGAGGCCTATCGTCACTCACAAGTGTCAGTCCAAGGGCCTAGGACAGAGAGGACCCTAGGTCACACCTCGCCCACTGGATTTCAAACTGGGTACCTAGAGGATGCGGAGCAGGACCCCTGCACTAGCTGCACATTGGAATCACCTGGGCAGCTTTGTAAACTAGCCATCCTGGGCCCTACCTCCAGAGATTCTGAATTCAGCAGTCAACAGTGGAGCCTGGAGTAGTCTAACCTACAGTCAGGGTTAGCACCACGGATCTAGGGGTACCCATACAGACTCTGGGGATGGGGAGAGGGACCTCATCCCTTCAAACAGAGTTCCTCCCATCTTGTTTTCATTCTAGTTCAGTCCTTTCATTTTACACATGAAAAATAAATGAGGCCCAGAGAGCAATGGCTTCCCCAAGATCATACTGTTGTTGTTGGGTGCTGTGGAGTCGACTCCGTACAACAGAATAAAATACCACCTGATCCTGAACCATCCTCACTTGCTATGCTTGTGTCGTTGTTGCAGTTACCGTATCAATCCATGTCTTTGGGGGTCTTCCTCTTTTTCGCTGACGCTTTACTTTACCAAGCATGATATCCTCCAGAAAACGGTCCCTCCTGATAACATGTGCAAAGTTCATGAGGTGACGTCTCACCACTCTTGCTTTTTAGGAGCATTCTGACTGACCTTTCCAAGACAGATTTGTTCATTCTGCTGGCAGTCCATGGTACATTCAGTATTCTTCACCAACTTCATAATTCAAATGCATCAATTCTTCTGCAGTCTTCCTTATTCATTCCCCAGCTTTTGTGTGTATATGAGGTGAGTGGAAAATATCATGGCTTGAGTCAAGCCCACCTTAGTCCTCAAAGTGACACCTTTGCTTTTTAACACTTTACAACAGCTTTTGCCAGCATCTGATTTCTTGACAGCTGTTTCCATGAGTGTTGATTGTGGATCCAAGTAAAATGAAATCCTTAATAACTTCAGTCTTTTCTCCATTCATCAAGATGTTGCTTAATGGTCCAGTTGTGAGGAGTTTTGTAGTAAGTTGAGGTGTAATCCATATTGACTGACCCAGGATCATATAGCAACTCGTTTATTCATTCAGTAAATACTTAGTGAATGCCACCTGGTGCAGACTGACACTACAGTGCCCAGGCTGAGTGACACTCTACACCACAGCTCTCCCTGGGACAGCGCTAGTGCCTGTACCCTCACATGATGTACTTCCCAGGTGCGTCATTTTGGAATTGTCCTTGTTTTTCCCACCCACCGTTCAGTGGGTCAGCAAGTCCTATTCACTCTTGAAATCCCTCTATCCTATTTGTCCCCACCCCTTGCCCACTTTAGAACCTTCTCACATTGGTCCCTACTATCCCAGATGTCCCATCTGAGTCTACCTGTTCCCATTTCAACCCCAGTGGTCACTCTGGTCTCTCTAAAACTCCCTTCTGCTCATAAACTCCGGTGTAGCATCCAATGATGGTTAACAGCTTGAGCTCTGGAGTTAGGCTGCCTGACTTCAAATTCTGGCTCTGTCTCTCATCCGGCCTTAGACAATTTAATCTCTCTTTGCCTCAGTTTCTTCATCTGTAAAATGCAGAGAATAATGTATTTCATTGACCTTTGTATTTCTTTTTTTTTTACTTTTGAACATGTCTGAAGTCAGAAGGCATATTATAATCAAAGGCATGTCATGGTTTAATTTGTGGCATTTTTTCCCCTTAGTGATATATGAAATAATGGTATGCATTACAATTGACAACACCTTTTATGAGACTAATGCAGTCATACTTCCCTCACAGGACTGTTGTGAAGTTCAGATAAGTTAATATTAAATGCTTGGGACATTGCCCAGCATATAATGGGCACTCATTAAGTATTAACCATTATCTTGTTGCTTAAAAACCTTCCCAAGATCCTCCTCGCCCATGGAATCTAGACCTGGCTCTTTAACCTAACATCCTAGGCTCTCCATCAGTACTCCTGCTGTACTCATCTGATCCTCAGGCCAGATCACCCCAAACCCAGATCTAAGTAGAATTTACATTTGAATGTCCAACAGGCACTTCAGACTCCACCTGTCCCAAACTTACCACCCTCCTCTGCCCTCCCAAGATCTCTCTCAGGCTCAAAGGCAGCACCAACAACACAACTGTGCAGGCCTGGGTCATAGACAATGCCCTTGCCTGTTCTTCCTCATGTGCCCACGTGCCCACTTCTCATCTGGAATCAAGGCTTGTCACCTACCTTGCAATGCCTCTTGGGATCTGGCCCCACTTGTCCTTGGAGCCTTGTCTCTCAGCTCTGCCCACCTTACCCCACCCCCTATAGCCACACTGAATCACCTGTAGATACCCAGACATTTGCTGCTTTCTCATGCCTTCTTGCCCTTGCCCAGGCTTGTCCCTCCACTTAGGATGCCCTTCTCCCTTGGTTCAGACAACATCTCTTCTGAGAAGCCTTCTCTGAGCCCCTGAGGCAGAGGATCCTATTTCTGAGTATCTCTCAACTTGGACATCTGTTACATCAGGTGATGGTGTTTCTTTGCATATCTTCTCTCAAGACCATGCACTTCCCAAGGGCTGGTCTGTGGTTTCCTATATTCGTTTCCCCAGCGCCTGGCACGTAGTGGACATTTGGGAGCAGCCCTGCTAGTGCCACTCCCTTCCCTGAACACTTATGATGTGCTTTCCCCCTGTAAGCCCTTCATGAGCACGTGGTAGGGGCCGGATGTAGTTTGCGGTTCTTTTCTCTGCATCAGGCCAAACACCCCAGGTGGGGTCTGCCAGGGCAAGACAGGGTTTTCTGAACCCTTATGTCCAGTTCCATGTCCTCTGCACTCAACAAGGAGCTGCTGTGGTATGGTATTTTTAAAAAATGGTCCCCAAAATTTTTTGACACTCATCCCTTGGAGAGATAGGGCCTATGTCCCCCCTTGCCTTGAATCTAGGCTCTGTGACTGATTGGCCAGTCGAAATGGCTGAAGTGACTGTGCCATTTTCTGGGCCCAGGACTTAAGAAACTAGATGCTTACACTTTCTGCTTCTTGGGACACTCAGTCTTGATTCCCAGTCACCGTGTTGTGAGAATGCCTAGGTTACATGCAGAGTTCACATGGAGAGATTCCAGCCAAAAGCCAGCATCTCCTGCCAGTCATGTGAGTGATACCAGCCCCGAGCTGGTATCTATTTCTGCCTAAGACCCCACACATAGTGAAGCAGAGAACAAGCCTCCCCATGGTGTCCTGTCTGAATTTCTAACCCACAGAGTCCAGGACCATAATAAAAAGGTGGTTTTATGCCAAAGATCATTTTAAGAAAAATTGTCCCTTGAATGACTAAGGGTGCCTGACCTAAGCCATGGCCTTTTCCATCTCCTCATACGCATGTAAAAGCTGGACACTGAAAAAGGAAGATAGAAGAAGAATCGGTGCATTTGAATGGTGGTGTTGGCAAAGGATATTAACTATACTCTGGATTACCGGAAGAACAAACGTATCAGTCTTAGAAGTAATTTAACTAGAATGTTCCTTAGAAGTGAGGTTGGCAAAACTGGCTCACTCCAAAAACGGACGGGAGCGGCATCTTCTGACATCCCCCAGCCTCAAAGGAGGAAACAGAATCACCACCAACAGCCAAGGATTGTCCCTAGTAGGCCAGACAGACCACTACCCTCAGCCTTTTACCAATTCTGCCACCAACTCTCCCTTCCGTGGCACTAACTACTTCTCTGCTGGGTTCGATAATTTGTTGCAATAGCCACACAGACCTCACAGACACAACTATTGGTTTATTGGGGAAGTAACAGGCTGCAACTCAGGTTCAGGAACACGCTCAGGTTATGGTTCTTTGATCAAGACAGTCTCCCCTCTGCTATGCCCTCAGGCACCTTTCTCTGGCCCTTGGCCTCTCAGCCTGGCCTCTGC